AAAACACACACACAAACCTTTTAAATCAACATGTTTTGGTCTAATTGAGGGGAAGGCAAGAAAGATAAATTTTGAAATGCAAATGATCACCTTCTGTTATTGACATACTTTTTTTTCCTTGCCAACATTATGATCTTGGTTTTGAAGAGTCATTGCCAGTGAAAAAAGGCAGAAGACATAAGCTGTTGCTGCTAGCTCCTGAACAATCAGAAGTTTATAAAACTGCCAGTTTAAGAGTGAGGCTAGGAAGGAAGACACTAAACTTTGTAGCTGTGAGAAATCAAAGCTGGGTATAGAGTTTTGTGAATCTGTTGTGATCAGTGGGATTGATTTGTTCTGTGTCAGAATCCTGCTGTCCTTATCATTAACTTATCAGATGAACGTATGAAGTTACTAGATAAGGGTCATGACACTGGTTCATCTAGCCTGGTGGTGTCTATTCTGATTGGCAGCATCTCCGAGTTTCCAGGCAAGGGCCTTTCCTGGGTCTGCTATCCAGCCCTTCAACTGCAGATAACAGGGATTGATTCTGGGGCCCACTACTGTGTAACAATCCTTTCCCCATATTTCCCATACTGGGGGCAAGCAAACTGGTATCCTCCAGATGCTTTGGACTGCAGCCCCCACAGTCTTAGACTACTGGCCATGCTGGCTGGGCCTGATGGAAAATGTAGTCCAAAAAATCTGGTTGGTACCTGATTGCCTATAGATGGTAATATGTCTGGCTTTAGCTGAGGTGTCTTTCTTCCATCTGCCTGCTAGCTGGAGAAGAGTGCATCTAAAAGAAGGCTAAAATGCTTTTCTTTCACTCATAAGTACCTGCTACCGGTCTCTGTAGATCTAGAATGGTGGGGTGGTGTCCCAGGTACAGAGGGGCACATTCCAGGGAAAGCTTGAGCAGGCATGACCCATGAAGTGTGCTTGTGAACTGCCCATCCAATCTGCTTGAATCTTGCTGGTCCTTGCACATAATGCTCTTCAAAGCACCTGAAGAACCCCATTATGATAACGTATTTTAGGATTTGTTGCTACTGAGCCCTGTTTTACCAACAGAAGTGATTTCAACTAGCATATTTTAACATTTCAGGAAAAAAAAAGCTTTAGAAAAATTGAATTTACTTGCACAAGTTGTTACAAGAAACATTGGGGTTTTTTATAAGTAGAGTGGGGGAAAAGAAACATTGCAATTAACTCCAGAGACTCAAGTGCATGTAGAAGTTCTAACAGGCAGGGAAGCTTCAAGGCTGGAACCTCCCAAATCTGGTAGTTTGGTAGCTTGACCTTCAGTCCACCTGTTCCCACACTGCTCTCCTGTTGAATGAGCAAATGAATGTATGTACTTGATTTTAAAATAGTATTGACAAATATACCCAACAAATCACTCACTTCACCAATATCTCTCAAAGCATCAGGAACAAAGTCCAGTCCCCAGTGAAGCCATAATTCTCAAAGATGTCACTTGCATTAGGCTCCAAGACCTGTGTGTTGATATATGTATAAGAATTAGTCGCTTTCCACCATAACTGGAAGTGGCAGAAAGGGCAGGTTGGGAGTGAATGTTTATCATCTTTGATAACACTGTTCTACACAACTTTGTCCTTTTATATTGCCAGATAGCTTCAGAGGAAGTTTTAAATCCCTCTTGTTGCAGCTAACAGGAGTAAAAAGAAGGATCCTTCCTAGCACACAGAGATTCCCTTTTCTTCTTTTATGAAGCAGGAAGTAAATGGCAGCAGGTTTTTAAATGAAGTGTTTCCTATATTTCAGCCTTTTGTTGATATTCCAGAAGGCTGTGAGAGAAATTGTAAAATGCTTACTGAACATACAAGCAAGTGTTGTTGTAAACCCTTCATTGATTAGGGTTGTGAATTGGAAAGATGGTGCAGAAGTGTTTATCCAGTGGGCAGAATGTGGGAGGAGCTCAGAGATGTGCAACTGGTTGAAGACAAAGTCCAGAAAAGATTTTCGATCAGGAGAATTCCTGGCACACTGTGCCATGAGGTCAGGATGGGGTAAGGGGCCAATCAGTGCAAAGTCAAGGCAGAGAAAGAGCTCCCAGCTGGCAGTTCATGGATCAAGGATAGCATTAATGGGATCTAGAATGAACAAAAACAAGTTTAGGCAGGAGGCAGAGAGGAGATAAGTGCAGAAATCTAGAAATACGTAAAAGACCTGTACTGCAGAATCCGGTTCTTGTGAAAAGCACAACTAAAACATTTCTCTGACATGTCAGTCTGGGGGCGGGGGGCAAACAGATTTGTGATACTGCTGGTCTGGCAATAGCCTAGTATGGGTCGGTATGGGTGGTCCTCCAGATGTTGGACTAAAGCTCCAATAATCTCTGGGTATTGCTCTTGCTGGCTGGTATTGATAGGAGTTGTAGGGCCTCATTTCTATCAAGTGTAGAAGTTTCAGCATTCAGTCCCTGGCTTGTTCTGAAAACAAGTTTGAGATAAGTGTGGAACCTCAGCTAGAAGAGAGAGTCTGCTTTTCATGGTGTATTGTCTCAGCTGGTACATAACACAATATAAAAACCAGTGCGAGATCCAGAGTGGTGCACTGCTTAGAATGTTGGACTGGGATGTAGGAGACCCTGGTTCGAAAATCCCACTTGGCCATGAAACCCACTAGGTGAAGTCCAGAAAACGTGTGCTAGCTTACACTCAGAGGCTGAGTATGAGTTGTGTCTGGATCATGCCTGAAATGTGGGTTATTGTGTCATCTGAACCCAGCCATGCTAACAAGCAGTGGCTTGTTAACCATGAACAAACCATGAAGACAACCCATGGTTTGTTGCTGGGTTGTGAGCTCTGGGTTGTTTTAGTTGGGTCCAAACAACACAATAACCTATGTTATCAACAACAACTTATGCTTCAGTAACAACAACACTTGAGTGTGGGTTGCAATGTTCTCTGAACCCAGCCACTGATTCTTAGCCTAACATGCTTTCTAGGGCTGTTGTGAGGATAAAATGGAGAGGAGGATCATGTACATTGTTCTGGGCTCTTGAAAGGAAAAGGTGGGAAATAAATAACAGTAGACAGAATGCTGTTAACAGGGATGTTATGAAAGAATCAGCTGTTTTGCAAGCACAAGGAGTCTTGGCCCAATTGCCAACTTCTCCAGGTAGTGCTAGGAAAAAGTCTCACTGAAACCTGCCACTACCTATATGAGAGGTCTGCACTGAGTAAGATGGACCAAAAGTTGGATTTTGTGTAAAGGCAGGGCCCTATGTCCAGATAGTTCCAAATCCAAATTTCCCCCAGTCCCTCCCTGCGTGATGCCTGCACATGTCAGCACCAGCACCTAATGCAGAGACCTGTTAGAAGGAGCCTCCATCATATGAGAGAAAGCAAAGCAGCTAGTCATTTAGGCTTATAGGTCACTGCCATTTATTGTGTAAATGCCTTTGCTGATGTGAATGAAATTGCTTCATTATTAAGAACCGGTATTGGGGTTTACATTTACTGCACTACTAAAGCTTTTGGGGGGTGAGGGGACCTTTTTCGCTATATAGAATTACATTAGCCAGTTGGACTGTGTATCACTTGAAAGCACTTCACAACCCATGGCTTTCTCATTTTCCCCCTCCTGTGGTGCATTATTAAGAGTAAAGGTAGCCTTATTGATGTGAATACTGAGCATATTACTGTCAATAGGTTGCAGGGGAAATAATGCGATCCATTCAAAGGAGGGATGGCAAATGTTTACCTGCAGCTTTCTCCTAGATTAAGGAAAACATCTTACTTCAGTTCTGAAAGTGGAAATAGATGACTCTGAGAGGAAAGCAGCGTGAATGGTGGTATTGTGGGGATGGGAAAGTAAAAAGTCCCTTGGCCAAAGCATTAAACATCCCAGAAGGCTCTACAACTTTATATACACTTTCTTGCAAATAGGATTTACTGAACACAGTGGGGCTTACTGACAGGTAAAAAGACACAGGGTAGAGACATCCTACGCAGCTCAGGCTTTGGGGCCAGCGTCAGGAATAAACATGGCTGGACACTTGCCCATCACTCCCACCCTAGCAGGGGCCCACAGGCATCCTTGCACCCCACCCTGGAACAGCTGCTCCTCTTCCCCACTGCTTGTGGCTGCTTCTTCCCCGCCTCTTGCTCTGGACCAGGCGACGGTCATGGCAACAGGAAGAGCACGAGATGCTTCCACCCACTCGCTTAGCAGTTCTCTGTCGGTCAAACACGCAAGTGGTAGCAATGACAAGAAAAGGAGGTGAGAAAGAGAAGCACTGTGGGGCACGGAGGGCCCTGCCCTCACTTCTGAGAGAGAGAGCCACTTTCTCAAGGCCATGCCACGAGTGCCATCAGCCTGTCCTTTCAGTGGCTCCGGGTCCACTTAAGAGATTGTCATATAGCAGATGTCAAAATATGCTCTAGAGCAGAGGTGGCATTCTGGGGCCAGCCCAAACCACCGGTGTGAAGAAAAGATTGGCAGGACCTGTTTGCAAGCGAAGTTTGACCTTGTTAAGCCTCCATAGCAGCTTGCTGCCGAATTTCGACGGCAAACCTCCGTTTTCTTTTTTTCCTTGACTTTTAGAGCCACTGGGGGCAGCTGCGGGGGCTGCAGGGGAGCAGAGGGGGCTACATGCTGCCCATCTCTGCTGTGGGCCATGCACCCTGCCTGAAGAATGAAGAGGGGAGCACCTTTCTGTTCAGACTGACTTCCCATGGAGATAGTGGAACAAATGTATTCCCATATTTAATGGTGGGTGGGATATTGTGTGTGTGTTCGGTAAGAGGAAATATTAAGCCTGGAGAGAGGCCCTATTGATATTCCAAACTGAAGAGCAAATTATTTTGTCTGTAATGATGTGTGGCTATGGGGGGACCGGAGGGGGCGGGAGGAAGAGCAGCCTGCAGTAGGGATGGCCAAAGGGCTGACTCCCTTGAGAGATGCTCCACCAGCATTAGAATTTCCTTGTCAATATGAGGTGGAAGGTGGACCTGACCTCAGGATATTAATTGCAAATGTCTTGTATTCAGAAGTTGGTGTTGTCTTTGAAGAAACAGAGGCCTGCGACTGGTGGAGTCTGGGTGCCCTTCTTTTTGAACTCCTTACTGGGAAGGTAGGTGGTGCTAACTGTTATTTAGCAAACGGAGATGTGGCAGGCTTTAGAAACTGAGAGAAAATCTGCAGTAGCTCCTTTAACTAAAGTGCAGGATGAGAACTTTCATATCATACAGAATACAGCAGGTCGAAGGCATTCAGAGCAGCTGATAGTGTTGCATCATTTTGCTGTGTGTGTGCATAGATGCATGTATGCACACATGTGCATGCCCCCCCCCCCACACACACACTTCTAGGGCAAAAGAGCAGTACTTGCATTAATTCAGACACTTTTAATTAAATTCAAGATAGACCTTGCTGATAAGATTGAAAGTGCAGGAAGCCTTTTGCAGGACAAATCAGTGAATGGAGAGTATACACTCCTTTTGAAAGTGTTAACATGCAGGAACAAAATATATTTAACCGTGAAAGCAGTGAATGCAAGTTGTTTGTGGAAAGGAGACAGGTAGAGGGCTGGGGGATTTTTATTTTTATTTACTGAATTTGTTGTGCAGCACTCTACCCAAAGTGGCCCTCAGCACCTCAATGGATTCTTGCTCTGATGTAGGAGGCGCTTGTAATTTTATATTAGCTCTGGTACTTTGGGGGCCTTGTAGAACGCCAGAAAGGCATAGGCCAAATAAAGGCGAGTTGCACAGTGGGAAAACTGGGGATTAAGTTTTGAAGCCCACTTTGAGTGCTGGCTTGGCCAGAAGCAGGGACACCCAATCAGCCAAGTGAACCGGGTTCCCCAAACCATTCTCCTCCTCCCTGACAGGCTGGAGGGTAACAAGCTTATATGCAGGGCCAGAGAGGCAGCAGTTCCTTGTTGGATGGGAGATCCTGCCCCCTGCTCACTTCCCGGCTTCCCCTGCATGTAGTTCAAAACAGAAAAGACGCATGTCGTGTTCCTCAAGGCTGCAGTGCCTCTCTCTCGAGATGCTGGCTGTTGAGGCAGGAAGCGGGTGCAGGAGCAAGAGGCTCAGCACTCCTGTTTTGGCATCATGACTGCAGGGACACAGGCCAGCTTCACATACATCGTTGCGCATATTAACAATACATCGGCTTTCTTGTTGGTTTTTCCTAGACCCTGCTGGAATGCCATCCTGCAGGTATAAACACCCATACCTGTCTGAACCTGCCAGATCACATCTCAGAGGAGGCAAGGTCACTTCTTCAGCAGGTATGTGATATGTCTGTGCATGCTAGACTGCTGCAGGTCCTGGTCAAGGGTGTAGTCCAGGGGTTGAAACGTGTTGCCCACCAGATGTTGAGACCTGCAACTCCAGTCATTGCTGACCATTTCAGTCCTGTTGGCCAGGACTGAAGGGAGCTGTAGGCCATAACAGATGGAGAGCAACCAGTTGCCCACCTTCGGCGCCTTCTGTTGGTCAGCTGCTATTTCTCTGGGAGTGATATTTTCAGCCAAGGTGGAGCTGACACCAATAGGAGCTTCCCTTCCAAAGCAAATAGCAGAAACAGGTAAGCAGATACAGAACAGTAGCATCATGGGACAAAGAGTTTAAAAAACCCACCACTTCTTCCATACCCTCCTTCTGCAGCTCCTATGTACCTTTAAAAATACGTGCAATTACGAATTCCATGAGTAACAGTATTGCATCTGGTTTTGCCTTTATACTCGGTGGGCTGAGGGGGAAGCCATTCCCCAATTCAAATATGAAAGTGCACTGGGAGGCCTGTGGGTTATCTTGGTGCAGTCCCTAGGAGCTGCATCTCTTACCCCAGAATCTCCCCATCTTTATTTAGCATCTCAGCAAATAGAACAGTCTGTTCCTTTAAAGTTTGAATAGTAGCAAAGAGCTGGAATGATCTACAAAAGCCAAATCCAGTGGTGCCTCTACTTCAAACGTAATTTGTTTCAGGAGGCTGTTTGAACTGTGAATCGTTCGAAGTCTGAATCAATTTTCCCCATTAGAAATAATGGAAAGTGAATTAATCCATTCCCAGAATCTAGAAATAGCCATTTTGGTAAACTTAAATAGAAAATATGGCCTCCCAAAAGAATAAAATTTGAGATTATAAACAAGGTGTGATCAAAAGACATGTTGCTTCAAACTCACTTATCTCATTGTTCTTGCCACTTTCTGAAGCAGTTCTGGAAGTCCTCTTTCGTGAGTATCTTAGTTGCACTGCCATGGCTGCCTTGATGTCCTGAGTCGATTCAAGACGAATCGATTCAAGTCAAGACAAATCGATTCAAGACAGGACAAATCGATTCAAGGCTAATTGATTCAAGACAAGAAGAATTGATTCAGGTCAAGGCATTGAGGCAGCCAGGACAGAACTGCTTCAGAAGGTGTCAGGTGTATACATAAAAATGCATGCAGCTGCAAAGGGCCACATGCTTACAGACTCTTTTGGAAGCAGTTCAAAAGCAGGTGCATGACAGGTTGCTTCTTAATCTTTTTAAAGGTGCTTTGTCATGGTAGGATTTTTTTTAAAAATATAGAGGATGGTGTACATGAGGCTTTACAGCTGTGGTTGTGGGAATATATTCAGGGTCCCAAATTGACAGCACAAATCTCCCCATTTGATGAACTTGGCCTCCAACAGCAGCCCCCTGCTATGGCTGATTCAAGTCTAAAGGCCGATGCATTGGATTAAAGTGATACTTTGTGCATGTGCCGTCAGGTTCAAAAATTTTATCCATTACTTCATCTGACAGAGGATTAGCTTCTCCCCCGCCTGTTTTCACCGAGGGGTTGAAAATAAGTGGAATTTTACCACTAGCATCTTTGAGAGCACGGATAAGGCAACGCATAGCTGTGCTCCACTCCTCTGAGACCATTCAGCCGGGCCATTTGCTGTTTCCCTCCTCCCCAAGTTCAAAGCCGCCCATGTCCGAAGGGAAGTGTTCCAGCCCCGGGCTGCACGTGGCTGACTTCAGTGGAAGAGGTCTGCTCCGTTTGGCTACTAAATCAACCTTCTGCTGTGTCTCTATCCAAGGAAACTACCATTCATTTTTGGAGGAAGCTTTGTCAGGAAAAGGAAAAAGGGCTCTTGGCATAGCTGGTCATTTGTCATTGTGATTTTCCTCTTCAACCCCCTCACTGAGGTTACTTGGGTCAGCCCATCAGAGAACGGCGAAGAGAGGAACAGCGCGCACATGCATGCCAAATGTGTCCTGTGACACTGTTTCCAAAAGCGGTGACCTCATTTGTAAAACATTATTGTTGTTGTTATTTTGCAAATGGTTTTCTCAGTCTCGCTAAGTAGATACTCCATAATGAAGAGGCCTCTGACTCAAAACTGAGATGAAGTTCTTCAGACTGTCTCGACTGGCATTCTGCCTGCAAGGTCTTCCTCAGTGCTTGTCCCAGCTAGCAGTGATAACCAGCATGTTTTCTATCCATGCAGATCGGCTGCAATTTATTCTGCATTTGCCTTTCTGAGATTAAAGATCCTTTCTTGCAAAGGGAGAAAACCTTCAGAACATAAATTTCTTTGCACCTAACTTTCCCACCTGCTGTCACTCGTTGCATTAGCCAGAGAATGGCCGAGTGACAGTGTCTGTGACTGCTTATCTACCCAGCTCATGTACATTCACAAAGGAAAGGCTTGTTTTGCTATCCGAGTTATCTTCCCCAGGTGAGGTTTAGAGAGATTTTAAGTGGTGGAGTCAACTTAAGATGTGCTAATGAATACATTTTATGGGGGAATTTCTCACTTTGATTTATTGGGTGTATGCATTTGAAGACATGTGCCCAAAAGAATATAGAGTACCCCTAAATGACAATTGGATGTAGGGAGTTGCATTATACTGTACTCAGTTCTTTAGACAAATTCTAGAAATGAAATTATTCTTTTGATCTGTTCATTTAGAATGCGACAGTCTCATAAGATGGCAAAATGTAAACTTCTGCTCCTTTATCCTTGGTAAATATTTTCATGCCTCTTTGCTGGTTACTTCCTTTCAAGCAATCATTCTCTCTCAAAATCCTCAGATATGTCGAGTTGGCTTCACTTTTTACATAAATTCAGCACCCCATGAATATATTGTTGATTTTCCAGTGCAACATAAACAAGCAGCTTAGTTTTAATAATCCTGGCAATCAGCTGCTCCATTTTCTGTACACTTTGTTTGAGATTTCCTAGCCTTTATAGGTTTCTCAGCCCTCTTCACCTGTTACTTGTAAAAAGTTAAATATACACCTTGGTTCTCAGAAATGTACACCTGAAAATGTAAAGTCTGCATACAACAAGCATGTGCTGACAAATACTAGAATTGTAACAGGTACACATATTGCCAGGCAGTCAGGATGTTTAGTGGCTTCCTCTGGGCATATACCTGCTGCTAATCCTGGATCTATGGCTACAGAGTATAAAACTGGAGGGTTGGTAGATACCAACAAGGTGAAGCTTGAAAAGGAGCAAAGAGCAAGTATCCCCAACCGGCAGGCCAGACTGCATCACTGTTGAACATAGAACCACAAGCTATAAGAAATCAGGGAAGGATTTGAAAGGTTACAATGGACAATACAGATCAGGAGTGTGGAATCTATGTAGCTTCCATATAGCCTGAAGTACCTTATCCTGTCTAATTTTGGAAACTAAGCAAGGTCAGGCCTGGTTAGAATCTGGATGGATGACCTTAGCGATTGTTATGATTATTGTTGTAAACCATGCAGAGAGCTTTGGCTATGGGCTTTATAGAAATGTAATAAAAATAATTTGTTATTCCCTAGAACCCCAAGATTATCAATGCCTAAAGAATCTGGTTTGGGGGTGGGAATACATTGGATTTCCTTAGCTTGGCTCCCTAGATTCTGGCCAGCTTTCTCTCTGCCCTAAACTTGCCTTGTACCAAGTGTTTGTGTGGGCATCCAGCAAGATGCCAGTCCAAGCAAGTCTGTAGGCCAGCTTCTGCGCATGCCATCTGTGCAAGCGGAGTTCTGCTTCAGCACACATGACTTGCAGGCTTAACGTTCTTTTCACAAAGAATTTTGTACTTTGCACACTTTCTGCAAAGAAGACTCTGATAATCCTGAGGTTCCTTGGATTTGATCTCGGCTCAGCTTACCTCCTGGCCAGGGCTGAGCAAGGGAAAGAAGTCCGGTGGGCAAAAGAGAGCTGAATTCTTGCCTGATCCTTGCATTCTTATCCAAGATCCACCAACTGGAGCCTTGTGCGGGGAAAAGGCAAAGTAAAGTCAATTACCTACTTTACCCTATGATCCTTTGTAGGACTTCTTCATTGACTTGGAGTGTTTCAGAGAAGAAGGGAAGAAGGCTGGAGCAGCTTCCATATACCTTGTGCCTCCCCAGTCTCTTCTTCTCCCCATCTTGCCCCTGAAACACCCCCTTTCACCCCACTCCCAAGTCACTTTCCTGGCTTTGGCAGCCAGTGCAATTCTTTTCACACTGGCTGCAATGGGAAGTGTTGTGTTAGAATTCTAGTTCCTAGCTTTGAAGTCAGAGCACTAGCCCTGCCTTGGAGCTAAGAGTTGAAAATATCCTGTGGCCTCTCAGGTGCCTTGGTGGGCCTTAGGATCTTTACCTGCCAAGCAAGAAAGTGTTAGGAATCTGCTGGGGGATGAAATCTGGTGGATTTTCATACGTAAGTTGGACCTCCTGGTTCAAGTTTGCCAGCCCAGCAAATTCAGTATGGTGTGATTGGAACTGACTTGCGAGTCTCATTTCTAAAATGGGTCACAATTTGTGCATTTAGTAAACAAAAAACAAACTGCAATTGAAATGTGTACATAATTGGAAAATTTGCACAAATCATCACCCAAAAACCATATGGTACTTAGTGATTTGTGCAAATGGTGTGATGGCCACCTGCTTTCTGGATGTCCATTTTGACAAATTGACTGATTTTAGGAAATTGCATTAGGTCCAAATGCGCACAAAAGACCATGTTTTGTGCAAACTGTGCAAATTTCATTAGCGTTTTTCAAAAAGTGCGACTGCTTCAGATGGGATCTGAAGGAAAAAAAACCCAACCCAACCTGCTTCCAGTCACCAGTTTGGAAGCAAGCAGGAAGCCCATGGGGCTCAAGTGAGCTAGACATCGCTGTGTCAGCACATCCTTACTCCAGGGCCTCTATCGGTGTTTCTTTAGATCACAGAACTGTCCAATCGGTAAACAGAGCTGCACAATGACTTGGGCAAAGACAAGCAATTAATACTCATATTTTACAGGTGAGAAACACTGAGGTTAAAAGATAAGCAATTAGCAAGAGGTCAGCTGTGATGGAAGTTCTTGTTTTTTGTTTAACTTTCAGTTTTATTTGCTATTCTTAAAATACTGCGAATCAGTAACCCTTAATGATGCACTGCAGCTTACCCCGCAGTGTACCAACACATCTATTTTTAAGTAGGAGGGATCTAAAACTCAAAAGATGGTGACTCTGAAAGAAAAAGGCACTGCTGTTTTAGTTGGAATTTCAGAGCAACAATACATATTAGGCTAATGTGTTGCACTCAGTTTGTAACTCACTCTTCCTTCAAGGACCACATCTGCGAGGGTTATTCATGTTTCCACAATAACAGAAAGGAAAGACTAGGAGTTTCTGTCCCACCATGCCTCACTGCCTCAGGTTTTATTAATAACACTTTTCTTCCAAGATGCCAGAGGATACAGGGAAGGGAGGAGTGATGAGGCTCTGGCGCAGATTAATCACAGCCAGGCTCCACGAAGCATCGTTGTCAGCACCAGGCCACTTCATACGGCGTGGCCTGGAGTCCTGAGTCCCCTGACACAGGAACACGCCACAGGGGGCCATGGCCAGCTGGGAGCTACTTGCAGTGAGTAACACAGGAACACGGGCTGGAATGCAGGGCTGCACACGTTGTGAATGTGGATGGTAAAGATGCCCACTGAACATTATGCGAGGGAGGAAAGCAACGGGTGTTTCAGCATCCTCCGTGTAGGCAGAAGGTGCCCTCCACCCTATTGCTACTGCCACTTGTGGGGGTTTGTGCTAAATCACACCACTGCCCCTAAATGTGGAAGCGCTGGCTCTCACACCCCACTTGGTGAAATATTTTATAAATATACCTTAATACTTCATCCCTTACATTTTTGCCATGGCCATAATATTCCTAATAAAACTGAATCTCCTTTTAAATGAGTCCAGTTTATTTAAAAGTAAAAGCAAACATATATTTATCTGTATTTAAATCTTTGTTATACATTGTAAAATTTAATAACACTTGTTACTCTTCTTAGTCTGGTACTGTTACTTTAAAGAAATTGTTTTAACTTATGCCTAATTAAAACCGCCTCCAACTGATAATTTCTTGCTTCCACTCCCCTTAGCTCCTCTGTGTTGGCTCAGGGACATGACCTGAACTTCTTTCTCTGGTCAGGAGCTCACTAGAAGGATAGAGGCTTGGACCATAACTATCTTTCATAATGGATTCCTATTTTTTTAAAAAGAGGAACAGCCTTGTTTCCGTTTCTGCAAATGTTTTCCATATGGTTAGGACACAAGTGAAGGAGAAGTCTTTTGGTTGTCTTCAAAATCTTCTTGAGGTCATCTGCTCCTCAGCTTCTCGCCTAGGTTTTGCCTGAACTGACCACAGCAGACACATTATTTCTATTCTCTTCCTTGACAGTGTCTTTTATTTTAGAATCATAGAAGAGTAGAGTTGGAAGGGGCCAGAAGGCCATCAGGTCCAACCCCTGCTTGGGGCAGAATTCTCAGCTGAACCATCCCTCTCAGATGGTTGTCAATCCATGTCATTGTGAAACATAGCATTAATTGCATTTGGGGTCATTATGTAACCACAGCCAAAAGTGCCTCAGGCAAGGCAAACACTGCACAGGAAAGGCCAGGAAATTTCTGTCAGCATTAGGCAGGATTTCAGTTCTCAGCAAGTACTAATAAGTTAAGGTTTGCTCCATCTTGCTATGGATAATAGCAAAATCTGCGTAGCACCACTGACCTTTTCCCTCCATAACAATAGTTTGGCCTACTAACTTTATAAGAACATAGAAAAGTTTTCTCTGAATGCATTTCATTTCTGTTTACTGGAGATTTTAAGTCAGACGCTTAGCTTTCAAAAAGTATAAAGATGATTTTAAAAAGACTTAACTGTCTTTTGTGTCTTTCTGGGGTCACAAAAGTACCCCACCAAACTGTTTGGTTCCCAGACCTGTTTGTTGTTGTTGTTATTCGTGAAGACCTGTTTTGCTTATGTGTAAATGACACAACATAACATGATACATGATACAGGATGAATTTATGCAGTCTCAGCCAGGACTTTCTGACTGAGGGCTCTCCATCATCTCTGTATCTGCCAGCCCACTCATCTATATTTATGAGCCAGTGATAGTTAATAGAATGTTTGTTAATTGGCCTATGAATGCCTGACCTTTTTGATTCTCCTGTCCAGTGTTTAAACAAAGAGGATTAATTGTGCACCTTGACGCCTAGAATGCTTCTCTTCCTTAGTATAGAAACCTTACCCACAGTTAGCAGGCCGCCATTCAAAGAAATAGTGAGAGGGAAACTTTTTGCCCCTCACTAGTAACCAATTACAGTCACAACAGATACCTCATTCTGTGTTTTTACACTGACATAACACTGACAGGGTATTTTCCATCAGGCAACTTGAGCCTGTATACCACCCCCTCACTCCTTAGACAGCCTAAGCCGAGTGAGCGAGCTTGTCACAGCTTGTGGCTTATTTAACTGAAAATAATAGGACCGTTGGTGAAGCTTCTGCTGGTCAAGCATCAGCCCATCTTCTCCTCCCTCCCTTCTGTTAACATTAAAACTTGACAGTGTAGCTCAAGTGGGCCAGGCATGTTTTGTCTTTTGGTTCCTGTTGTTTGAAATCTGTTACTGTATTTTAAATCTTTGCACTGCTGGTAGGTTTTATTTCAGTTTTATTTTATTTGGATTTTATGCTTTAGTTGTAAACATTTAAACATTCACATGATTTGTTATAATGTTGTATTTTATCACTTTAAACCATCCAGAGATCTTTGGCTATTGAGTCGTATAAATAGGCAATAAATACATGTAATAAGCAACATGGAGGAAGTTTTCTTCCTTTCTGAGGTACAGAGATCTTGTGCAGCCAGATTTGAAAAGTATTATTATTAATTATTATACATTTATATCCTTTTTAAATTACATGTATATCCTTTTTTTCTTCTTGTGAAGAAGCTCAGGTGCTTTACATAGTTCTTTTCCATTTTATCTTCACAACAACCACCCCACTGAGGTAGGCTGGGCTGAGAGTGTGTGACTGGCCCAAAGTCACCCAGTGAGCTTCATGCCTAGGTGGGGACTAGAACCCAGATTGCCTGAGTCCCAGTTTAACGGTCTAACCATTGTGCTATGCTGGCTCTCTAATCACATTTACCAAAGAAGAATATAAAGAGGAAATAGGAGAAAAGCAGGGAGTGTGCACAGGAAAAAGAAAGGGAGTACATTAAGTATCCACCTAATTATTTGTCAAGCAATCAAATGCAGCACGTAGATGGGTCAAGGCCACTTCCCTGGAGCCTTGTGAGATGGGCAGCAGGTGACAAAAGCATAGGAATAAATGTTCCATGTTTTCTGCAGCTTCCCCCAGCCCGGTGCCCTCCCGGGATTTTGGAAAACAAATGCCATAATTCCTGGCCGTTGGTAATGCTGGCGAGGGTTAGGGATGGAAGCTGAAGTCCAAAACTTCTGGAGGGCACTGCAGTGGAGATGCCTGTTGCATCGAAGCAGTAGGGTCTTTGGGGGCAGCTGAGGAGCTCTCTGCCAATGGTGTGTGCAGCCAAGGTCGGAGGAAAGTGAAAATTGGCACCAGTGGGGCCCTCAAGAAGGTGAGAAGGGGCAAGGATGTGGGTAATCACTTCTTCCTAGAAACCTCATGTAGCTAAAGAGGGGTTGGCCATGTATAACTTAGAGGTTTCATTAGAAATGATCGCTAATTGTGCCAGCTTGTGGAATAAAACCACTTCTTTTTCCTTTTTAGTATATTATTCTTAATTTTGTTTCCCAACACACTTGAAACTTCAAAGCTCTGTGCTAGTATGCTGACATGTTTGCTACGTTGCTTCATTCCCTAAACTGACCTTCTTACTAACTGTACTTTGTCTTAAGCTTTTGCAGTTCAATTCTCTGGAGCGTCTCGGTGCCGGAATCGCTGGAGTTGAGGACATCAAATCTCATCCCTTCTTTGCCCCCATTGACTGGACAAAGTTATCCAAATGAAGACGCCTCTAAGCCCTTGGGCCATGCTTGGGTCCTGTGACAGATACCTGCTTTGGCTTGCTGCCATTTTCAAGACTTTTGGATGTCTCCAGGCACGATAAATAAAGCTGGAGATTGGAACCGTAGCTCCAAAAAATGGACTGTCTCAACGAATCAGTGATGGGACAAAACTGCGGTCAACACTACTGGGCACTGAACTTAGTTCTCCTTTTCAGTCTGGAAGGAGCTGTGACATGGCAGAGCTGCCATTGAATCTCCCCATCCTCTCTTTATAGCAGGGGTCTCAAACTCATGGCCTGCGGGCCAATTGCCGGGACAGGCGGGGCACGGGGGAGGGACCCTGCGGCCTTCAAAGCGCCGGTGGTGCCTGGGCCGGCCGCGGGATGAGCGGCCCACCACCACCGCAGTGGTGGAATACTTGATGCGGCCCAGCCTCACCCAGACTCTACTTCCAGCGGCCCCCAGGTAAGTTGAGTTTGAGACCCCTGCTTTACAGTGTTTGGAAAATACATGACCTCCTCCTCCTCCTCACCCAATTTCACATTATCGGCCACCATGTGGGGTGGGGCTAGAAAATGCATGAAAAGAGTGGGGTTGACATTTTAGGGGTTAACCCTGCGGTCTTGCTTACATGTAGTTCTGGCGTCAGAGGGGAAATTATGTGTAAGCAAATCCACATGTGCTTTGTTCCATTTTTTGAGTGTTGATGAATGTGTGAAACTCCTAATCGTAAATGCCGGCACCTACTGTATATGCCAGCAGAAAATAGTGTCACTATTCTTCATCTCTAGGCAAGGCACAGCTGGGGCTGTGTAGGAGGTTTGAGGAACAGGGAAAAGGAGACTAACTTATTAATAACATATGCTAAATACAATACTATGGTGCTTCTGCAGAATTTGATGTGTAATATAATCTCCATGTGGGGCAAAGAGAAAAGAAAGCTTCCTCGTAGTCTCATGTACAGCATCTTCCAAATGCTTGCATGCCATCTATCAGAAGACGGAAGAGGGTAATTTAGCATTTGTTATCTTGTGCTTGTAGGTTGGCAATGTTTGTTTTAAAGCACTAACTCTTTAACCTCAAGTGAATTTTATGTTTTACGTCACTACAAGCTAGGAATTGCTTTAGTAATTTAACATGGACCAAGGAAATAGGATTCTGAATAAGTGGAAGGATCTGTTTTTTTCCTCCTCTAACTGGTCTGCCACATTTCTGTCTAGGGTATTTTTAGCTCTGATCAGCACAGACAGATAAATCGAGATGTGCAGCGTTTTTGAGTCTGTGGGGAACTTGGATGTTTGGATGCATCTCTGGGTGAGAAATGGATCATGGAAAGCTGGCATTTGTCAGGCAGAGGTTCTAGCCCAGCCATCACCCTGACCTGCTGGTTGTCTATGGGACAGGTTGTTGTGGGTTTGCGTTTTGTCTTACATTTTGTTTACATGGCCAGTGTTCAACTGTGCAGGATCCTACCTGCAAAATGAAATTATATAGCCTGAGAACTCAGTACCACATAATTTTATAAGATGCATGTGTGGATAGACCCTTTGTTCTGGAAATGTCATTTTGTCTGCTCTACAATTCCACAGCTGGCCTCTCTCTTCTTTCAGAAACAGTCATTCAGTTTGTGTCTGTGCAGTGAAAGAGGGCTCCCAAATAAATGTACTCACATTTTGTGGGGTGGGGTTTCTTATCAAGAAGAACATTTGGAGACCTTTTACTAATAGGAATGCTACTCCTAATTTGAGTTCTGTTGCACCTGTCATGAATGTAATCTCTCCAAGGGAGATGGCGGCCCTCTTCTTGAAAATGGCCATTCCTTCCAAACAGACTTGCCAAGAAGTTGTTGCTAGTGGATTAAGCGTCTAGCTAGCCTCCTAGTCCATTGGGGCTGTAGTAGTTGTGCCATCGATACTTAACATATTGTGAACTTATTTTCCACCTGGCAAAGGTGGAAAAACAAAGAAAAGTGACGCTGCAGGCTCCAAATGTTTTGGGAAGGGATTGGAGGTGGGGTGTGGGGTGGGAGGTGAGGCACCCAAAGTTGATATTTACATAAAAAATAAAGAGATTTCCTTTTTAAAAAAGCCCAACAGCATGTTCTTGTTAAATTTGTAACCTGTTGTGAGAGTTTGGGAAAAAACCATTTTAAGGTGATTTTTTTACAGCATTCAGTTATAAAATTCTATTTGTATTTTCTTTCCCGTTGCTTCTGAGTGATGCTTTGGAGGAAAGGAGTCCTTGTGCCAGGAGCTGTCACCAGATACAGCCCAATGTATCAGGGTACCCTCATTCCTGATATTTGGTTCAGAGACACCTCCTTCGGCAGCAGAACACACCACACTGGGAAGCTCTCTCTGTTGTGCAAAGCCAAGCCTCTGAAAGCTTCCCAAGAGTTCAAGTACCTTGATGTACAGGGATAACTTGGATTGCAGGGCAGCAGCTGGACCACAGGAAGTTCCCTTCTGCTGAGCTCATCTAGTGTTGTTCTCATGGACTGCCAGCAGCAACCTGGGGTTTCTGGCAGGACTTTTCCAGCCTATCTGGGGATGCCAAGCGGTCACACCTGGGACCTTGGCTTATAAGAAATGTGTTCGACCACTGAGCCACCGGACTGATGCAGGCCAGGGGCAAGCTCTCCTGCTCCCCTGTTCTCCTGCACGACCTTGTGCTGCTACTGCATGCTGGGGATTTGGGGCCGGAGGGCACTGTCGCACTCCTATCCCGCTTGTGGATCCTGCAGGCATTCTGTGCGAACACAGCGCTGGAGTAGACGGACCCTTGGTCTGATCCTGTAGAACACTTCTCTTCTGTCCTTGTACTGCTGCTCCTCTCCTGCAATTGGTTCATACCCCCTTCCTTCATCACACCCCCTTGTTGTATCCACCTAGGACTGGTCTTGCCACTGGGCAGAGTGAGGCATTCACTTCAGGCGGCAGTTGCTGGGAGGCGGCAACAAAGTGTTGGAGGAAAGAGCTGTGGCCACACAGCTTGCCCTGCATGCTTCCCCCTCTACAAGCTATCCAGCTGCCCTCAGAGGCAGCAGCGCAAGCTGCCTCATTGCCAGTATTGAACTTCCAGCCCCGTCAGCTTCTATACTTGGAATGGGAGGCAGTGCCACCCTATCTTTGTCCTCAGGCAGGAAAACGCCCTTGGCTCTTACTGTTTCCACTGCTGCTGTGTCTGCCCTTTGCCGAGCCATGCAGAAGTGATGGTCTTGCTCACCATCATGTTCTCGCTGGCAGGATTCTCAGTGTAAGCCACAACACCGGTGGTTGGCAACAGGTGACCACCCTCTGATTTGCTCCAAGGCTCTCCTCAGGGTGAAACGGAGGGTGGGTGGCTTCTCCAAACAGCCCTGCCAGCCACGTTCTCATTTGCTGCAGTGGGACCAGTTGGGCTCAGCTTCATGGGAAGGCCAGTCCTGAATGAGTGTGCTGTCCTTGGGCACTCAGACCAACATTGTATGTTGGAGCTGGCAACCTGGTGCCCTCCTGATCCTTGAAACTACAACTCTCATAAACTCTCAACAGTGCAGTCAGTGTTCAGGGATTGTGGGAGATGTGGTCTAAGAAATCTAGACAAGGTGTCGCCCTGCTATAGACACTAATTCTGAGAACTCCAGTGTGGTGCTGGCATGCCTATGGACAATTGTCTTGGCACCAATCAAGTTTCATGCCTCCTAATTTTTATTTTATTTCATTTCCTAAATGTTTTACTTCCTTTTACTGGAAGCTTGACCTGTCGCAAAGGAGTTGCTCTCCAACACCATCTGCATTCAGGTTCAAAGTGGTGCTGTTCTGTTTTGGAACTCAGACTGCACTCCTTCCTTGTTCTGTAGGTTCTAGGAAAAATGATTTTTCCTTTGGCCTCACCAGCTGCCTTTTGGGCAGTGAACATTTTGGGACATGCTCACCATGGATGGACAAGCCTGCCCTCTACCATGTCAGCCATTTTGTGAGTGCATGGACCTTTAAAACAAGAATACCAACCTGGGGCTGCAGGGGTGCACTTACTTCCATTTGCCAGGAAAGTAAATCCAGCAAGAACGACAAAATGAGCAACTCACAACTGTGAGGCTGAGCACATCAGCTGCACCTCAAGTTGGGGACTTCAGTATTTGGTGCTTCTATATGCAAAGGAACCAAACAGCCAGTCCAACCAAATGTATGTAGCATTCACGGAGATGCTTCTACACCATTATGCGTTTAGCATCTCTCGCCAATTCTTTCCTTCCCTCAGCTTTATCCGGAGAGCAAAGGGCAAATTCCTTTGGTAAAGAAGTTTCTAACTTTTCAACAACTGTTGCTGGTCATATGTTAACCTTCAGTTTTTATGGGCCATCCCCCATGTGCATCTGAACAGGCTACATCTGTCTGACACCAGACTTGGATACTAACACAAACTGGAAAAGGAAGAGACTTCATTTAACCAAAGGAAATCTGGAAGGTCTTTTTTTTCTTTTGAAAATTTTCTGCTCCTGTTTCAGCCCCCATCCCTTGTGATAAAAACATAAACCATGCAGTCTGTAGCCAGGTCATCAGGAGAATCACTGCGATGGAGGCCTATCCAACGTTACATCATTCTCCAAAACCCCATGTGGACAAAACCATTCCATGGCTACATAACAGGAACTCCCTCAGGTAAGGCACTGCAACAACTTCCTGTGCTGAGAGGTGAGGAAATATCTGAAGCAGGGAGGAATAGAAAGCTTCCTTCCAGCGGTGCCCTTGTTATGGCTTTGGAAGAGCTTCTCAGTTTGAAGGCCACTCTCCCTAGGGCTGTACTGGAGACATGAATGTTAGCTGCTCTTTATTTTTGGTCTTTCGGCATATTACAATGCAAGTTTGTTGGCCTTTCAGAATATGTTTTTCCCTTGCATAGTGGGGTACGTAAGTGTACCTGTCCATCTAGTAGGATTTGCATCCCCCTTTAAAGTATCACTGTCCTACATGCCGTACAATATAAAATGATGATCATTCAGTAATGAAAATACAATAAAACAATACATGAATAGAACAGCAGAAGGCAGAATGTCAGTGGAAACTTATACACGTTCATGCAGAAGTAAATTGCATGAGGTTCAATGAAATTTCCTGGTAGGTTGGGTAAGGGATTGTGGCCCAAGGGTTTTAAGCAAGCGTGTCTGTCCCCCAGTAGAACGGGTGCTCTGATGGAATGGAGCGTTTGCTCTTCGCAGTTCGCAGTGTGCTCCACCACTTGCCCTGGAAGGTTGGTTGATGCGCCGGATTAGGGTTCAGTAGTATGCAGGGAAGGGAAAAGGGATGAAGAAGCCTTGTCAGATGTGCCTTGTTTAGCCTGGATATTG